TTAAGATCACAAACAACATCGACCCAGTGGGAAGAATCCAGATGCGCACCAGGAGAACGCTGAGGGGGCACTTGGCCAAAATTTATGCCATGCATGGAAATCGGAGGGGGAGACGAACCATGAGAGACAGTGGACTCTGAAAAACAAACTGAGGGTTCTAGAGGGGAGGGGGGTGGGAGGATGGGTTAGCCTGGTGATGGGTATTAGGGAGGGCACGTTCTGCATGGAGCACTGGGTGTTATGCACAAACAATGAATCATGGAAGACTATATCTGAAACTAATGATGTAACGTATGGTGATTAACATAACAATAAATTTTTTTTTAAAAAGACTGATATTCAGAAATAAACGTTAAACTCAGTAGTTGACAGGTAGAATCCCCTGTTGAAACACTTGCTACTCTGGACCTTCCCTCTGCTTGCTCCTTACGGCAAATTTAGGTGCTGGCATAGAAATACTTGATGATGTAATTTTTGGTGTTTTAATTATTTAATCCATTAAGTAGAATTAATTAAGCAGAATGACTGTTTTTTAATTTTATTTATTTGACAGAGAGAGCACAGCGAGAGAGGGAACACAAGTGGGGGGAGTGGGAGAGGGAGAAGCAGGCTTCCCGTGGGGCAGGGAGCCCAATGCGGGGTTCGATCCCATCATGATCCGAGCCTAAGGCAGACGCCCAAGGGCTGAGCCACCCAGGTGCCCCAAGCAGAATGACTTCTAATAGTGTAATTAAAGCTGAATTTGAAATCTAGATCTTTGGCACATTTATAACAATAATGTCTTTGAGTATTTTTCCATGTTCTCAGTTGATAAATATTCCTTCCAGCTTCATGCAATAAAAATAATTCACAGTGAGGCAGTTTGCCCCTAGAGGATTGTGTCCCATATTATTCTTGTACTCAAATTTTTATCCCTTTCAAGCTATTGTCTCATTTTCCTTCGTAATATATGGCTTTCTATTTTCTGTATTTCCTAGTAAGTTTGATCACTTAGGAACAATGAAAACATCTTAGTTAGCCTTAGAATATCACTTTATAGTTCTTACCTGTTTCACAAGGTCATTTTATAGATAAGAAAACAGATAGTAGTAGGGCGCCTGGGGTGGCTCAGTTGGTTAAGCGACTGCCTTCGGCTCAGGTCATGATCCCGGAGTCCTGGGATCGAGTCCCACATTGGGCTCCTGGCTCGGCGGGGAGCCTGCTTCTCCCTCTGACCCTGTCTCCTCTCATGCTGTTTGTCTCTCTCTCTCTCTGAAATAAATAAATTAATAAAATCTTAAAAAAAAGAAAAGAAAACAGATAATAGATACAACAGCCAGAGTCTTACCTGAATTTGATTGTCTTTAGTCCAGATCCTTTGCTCGTAGAGTTTAGCATCGGGTGTTATTTGGCTTGAAAACAAAGTCCTTGGTTAACATGATCTGGAGGGAAAGTTCTTTGGGCTGGACATCCAGTGCTTTTTGGACTTCTTTCTCTGGGCCCCATGGCTCCTGGGCTGTTAGAAAGACAGAGCGAGGAGCACGTGCAGGTCTGTGGCAAAGTACAGGAGCCTCGGCAGGCAGGAGAGGAAGCAGCACCCGAATCTGGGGTCTCCAGGACCACGCGGCTTCCAGTGTGGTCCTCCCCACACAGGCTCCATTTCTGAGGTCACAGAGCGCAGGACCTCTGGCGGCCCTAGACTGTGTTTGAGCCAGGGGAGGGGGGAGGCGACGCCATCCTCCTCCTTTCTACCTTTGTTTCTCACCGTTTGTAGAGGCTCTCCGAAACTTTGGTGTGAAGACCTGGGGCGAATGTGTGTGAAACATTACTAACTTCCCGCTTTGTCATTCTTATTTCCTAGGATGCTAGAAAAGCATGTGCAGATGCAACGCTCTCTCAGGTAAGGACCCCTCTACGCAGAGGCGCTTGCCTGGCATTGGGCTGGTTCTCAGCGGCGCCTGCACTCATTGCCTTGAGAGTGAGCTGTGCTCTTCCTTTTGCACAGTGAGGGTATAAACACTGCTTGAAGCATTTCATTCGGAATGCACAGGAAGTCATGTTTTTTGGGGTGATAGATAGATGTCTCACAAGCCTTTCTAAAGTCCAGTTGGGCAGATCCTCAAAAAGTTGCACATAAATTATGAACCATCGGTTCTACTCCTAGATGCACACCCAAAACTGGTGCTCAGACAAGCACACGTACACGTGTGTTCTCAGCCGCGGCAGTGTTCACAGTTTCCAAACAGTGGGGACGAGCACAGTTTCTGTGAAGGGATGAGTGAATCACGAGGTGTGGTCCATTCACACGGTGGAATGTTAATCACCCATAGCAAAGGATGCATTACAACGTGTTTAGCAGCATGGATGAGCCTCAAACATGATGCCCAGGGAAAGAAGCAGACATACAAGGTCACATAGTGTAGGATTCCACAGATCGGAAATGTCCAGAACTGGCAGCTCCAAGGAGACAGAAGTTTATGAGTGGTTGCCAGGACTTCGGAAGGAGGGTGGGGGATGACTGTGGGCTTTCCTCCTCGGGGGGAAAGGGGGGAAAGCTGCTGGAGCAGATGGAGGTGGTGTGGTAGTTGCACACAGGTGGGCATGTGCTAAACACCAGCAAACCGTTCACTCTAAAATGGTGAGTTTCACATTGTAGAATTGAACGGAAATGTGGAAGAAAAATTGTATTCATACTTCTGCCAAGGATGTTTAAATGTTTTACATTGTCCCAGTGCTTTAGGGGATGTGGTTTAGTTGGGGTTAAACAGCAAGTTAAAGAGAAACTTACACTGCGTAGAAGTCCTAAATTTGAATTCTGAGATATGCTTCGTGTACTTTGGACTGTGCCTTTTTTCAGACCCATTATTGGGGTGCCTGGCCAGCTCAGTAGGCAGAGCATGCAACTTTTGATCTTGGGGTTATAAATTCGAGCCCTATGTTGGGGATTAAGTAGAGATTAATTAAAAATAAAATCTTAAAAAAAAACACATTGTGATACACTTAGTCCAGTTGTCAACGCAGAGTCGTTAATGTCTGTTTTTTACATGTTGGAGTGAATCCGCAGGTCTGCACATCCAGTTCTGTGCGACAAGCAACAGCATTTCTAGTCACTGCTGACTGTTGTCCAGATCAGTGCCCAGCCTGGTCGCTGTGGACAGTGTGTGAGCAGCAGGCCTGTGTTCAGTGTGACGGGGGCTGATGGGACTGTAACTTGGAAGGAGAGCAAGCCTACAAGGACTGCGAGGCAGGAGGCACTAGGCCTGGATGAGCAGTTAGAGGAGGGAGGGAGACCTGGGGAGGTCAGCGCACCTGTGGACCGGTGCCATGTGCTCGTTATGGGGGGAGAGACAGAGGTCTTGAAGAGCAAGTAGAGTGACAGACTTCATTCAGACCATGAAAGGAAGGTAGGTGCCGTGGTAAGCAGGAGAAGTCACAGTGGAGAGCTGCAGGGACCGGGTGGACACAGCCAGAATGAGGGCAATGGGGCTGCGAAGGAGGGTGGGAGAGGAGGCCTCAGGGGAAGTCATTCCATGACAGACTGTTAATTTGCAGTAACTTTTGTTTTTAAGATCACAAACAACATCGACCCAGTGGGAAGAATCCAGATGCGCACCAGGAGAACGCTGAGGGGGCACTTGGCCAAAATTTATGCCATGCATTGGGGCACGGATTCCAGGTGTGTGGGAGCATGAGCAAAACATAGTGCTTGAGGGGCGCCTGGGTGGCTCAGTTGGTTGGGCGACTGCCTTCGGCTCGGGTCATGATCCCAGGGTCCTGGGATCGAGCCCCACGTCGGGCTCCCTGCTCGGCTGGAAGCCTGCTTCTCCCTCGCCCACTCCCCCTGCTTGTGTTCCCCCTCATGCTGTCTCTCTCTCTCTCTCTCTCTCTCTCTGTCAATTAAATAAATAAATAAAATCTTTAAAAAAAAAACAAAACATAGTGCTTGAGACACTCAAGGATTGTTCTGTTTTTCTGAGGAAAAATAACCTGAATTCATTTGCTGTTATTTGTAAAGACAGAGTGAGGACGTTGGCAGATACCTGGGCAGGCCACGTGTAGCACGACAAGCGCACACTCCCTGTGCGTACTTTGCTCACCTGGGCTGATGGTGCACTGTCATTGCTTCACCACCCTCATCGTGTTTATATCAGCCGTGACCCCCCCCCCTCCAGCTCCACTGTGCCATGCCTGTGTGACCTTGGGGAGCTTATACAGCTTCTCTGTGCCATGGCTCCTTGCCTTTCCAGCCTGTTCCTCATGACTCCTTGGCCCCTACCCTCTTGTGGTTTCAGTGTCCTGGCTCAGGGATCATAAACCTGCCTTGTGGTGTGGGGAAGATTAAGTGTGTTGAGCCTTACAGCGGTGACTAAAGCATCCTGAGTGTTGTGCATGCACAGGTTTGCTGCTGTTTTCTTGGAGCCCACAGCGGACGTGTGGGAGTGCACGTCTTAGCTGCTGCCCTGCCTTTTATCTACCGTCCCAACAAGAAAATGCCCCTCAGGCGCTCATTGCTTTACTTTAACTTCTGCCCCTTATTTGGACTTCTTTCCCCTCTGGGTGGCTCATCTCCATCACGTCATGGGTCCTTTCTTCCTCTCCCCTCTCCACACCTCCTTCTCTTAACCTGCAACATCACCAGAGTGCAATCTACTCAACTCTCTCTTTCTTTTAGAGGCTGCTGGAGAATCTGTCTCTTCTACCTTTTCCACCCGAATAATTAAGTAACATGCTGTGTGACTTAGTGGCTGTAACATGCTCTTTCAAATACCTGATGTATGATTCTCAAAATGCCTTTCTTGGAGTAGCATTATTTTGTGTGTGTGTCAGAGAGGAATTGCTTGGTTTCTCTTTGTTCGTGAAATTGTCTGCTTTAGAGTGTAAACAGCTACAGAACAAAAGAATCTATCTTTAGTTTGTTCTATATGCTGTTCAGTACAATTTCAAATGCAAATGAGAGCTAACTTTGATCATTTTAATGATGGCAATAATCAGAAAGACTAAGAAAGGGGAAGGAAAGAAAAATGCCCTTGCTAATCAGTCCACCTTGGAATTTGTTATCAAAAGTAGACGGTAACCAAATGATATATTGCCTCCAGGGCTTTTCCTCCATCTGTAGGAACATCAATGTCCTTACCAGACAGGACACTTGATAGACACTGCAGCTGGGTTGTGCTCAGAACCTGGTACTCAGGAATCCAGCACTTGGAGCCTGGTACTCAGAACCTGGTTCTTGGTCTAGTACTTGGAGCTTAGTGCTCAGAGCCTGGTACTCAGGAATCTGGTACGTGGAGCCCAGTCGTTGTCTTGGCTCCCTAAGCAATTTGCTCTCCTGCAACAGCCGGTTTCTAGTTTGGGGAGTGGCATAGGTGACACCTCCCTTATGCCTAAGGGTCACTGGGAGTACCAGGTCAGCCTGCAGGCCGCTGTGGAAATGAGGACTGGGGCTCAGCAGGACACCAGATCATCTAGCTTCCCAATCACTATGTGCAAGGCTTTATATTCCATCTGGTTCAAACACAAGTTGTGCTTTGAAAGCCTCAGAGTCAGAAGGAAGTAAATCAAGGGCATGAATAAGTAGCACCAAATTGAGGGTCGTGGTCACCCCTTAAAGAAGGGGTGACTTGGGAGGCTGGTGGGGGGTGTTGTGGTCTTGTTCTGTTTTTTGGACGGGAAGGTGGGCACATGGGCACTTGTTTTATAACTGCTTTTGAAACTGCACAGTTACGTTTCACAGTGCCCTCATACAGGGGCCCTATTTTATAATCACAAACAAAAGAAAACAAAAAATGATATTAAGGAGGATCTCTGCTATTCAGAGCCTTTCAGATATTATTTTTTTGTAGATAGCCATATTTTCTGGATAGGTAAATTTTTGTCTTTTTAAAGTCCAAAATATTTGTTTTTCATGATTCAAGGCTGTAATTCATGAATACCAGTTATCTTACCATGTTTGTATAATTTATAGATGCTTTCAAACTGTTGTACTGACTAGCAGTTTATTTTTCAAAACCATAGGAGAGCCCCACAATAAGAGGTTTGTGCAGTATGCGTGTGTATACGTTTATGTTTATCGACATGATATATGCATTTATACTTAAATTCTACTTTTTACAACATTTGAGAGTCTCTTTCAGTTACATGAGTTAATGTGAAACTCTTTCTCCCCTTTCTAAAGTCTGCTGAAGTCTTGTTATGATTGAGAGCAAAACACAATTGGCCCAGCTAAGCCTGAGAGCCCTCCCTCCTCCAAGTAAATGAGGGGCCAGAGGCATTTGGATGTGGGCCTCTATTCAACCTCTGTTCCCAGCTTCCTGGAGCCCTCACTTCCTTGCTGGCTCTTGCCTGTGTGTTCTGGGTGGATGGTGCCTCATAGTAACTGACTTGTGAATAGCTGAAAGCTCTAGGGGCAAAATTAATTCAGTTCTCCAACAGTTGTCCTGTCTTGGATTAAGAAGTGTCCTCGCTCACCTTCTGGAGGATCATCGGACAGCTTAACATTTCTCTAACCCCTGGGCGAGTCAGCAGATATTAAGCTCTCTGACCAGGAGACTTTCCTAAAGGTGACCCTCATGGAAGATGAGCTTCTTTATGTTGGCTTGGATAGTCCATTCAAAGCCTGTGTAAAGGGCCAACCAGAAATTGAGGAGCAGACTGAACCTTACTCTGTTACGTGGAAGGAAATAGCTTTAAGTGCCTAATAGGTTTGTTACTGAACCTAGGTGCAAGACTTTGCTTTAAGAAACTGCATCTGAGGGGCGCCTGGGTGGCTCAGTCGTTAAGCGTCTGCCTTCGGCTCAGGTCATGATCCCAGGGTCCTGGGATCGAGCCCCGCATCGGGCTCCCTGCTCGGCGGGAAGCCTGCTTCTCCCTCTCCTTCTCCCCCTACTTGCATTCCCTCTCTCACTGTCTCTCTCTCTGTCAAAAAACAAATAAAATCTTAAAAAAAAAAAAAAAAGAAACTGCATCTGAAAAATGATAGGTTAGACCTGCACTTAGTTTGATTCTGTGATAAGTTTTGCAGTGCATCAGTGAAAACATTAGTGTTCTTTGCCAAACTCATTGTTGACTCCCTGTAAAGGAAGTTTGTGCATCAGAACATAGAATTTGATGGAAAATATCACAGTTGTCAGAATGTCTTGAGTAAGTTTTACCTCCAGGTTTTCATCAGTTAGTAAGTCAAATATGCTCTTGGCTGAAATGGTCAAAACCTGTGCTTGATTAAAATCTTTTTTTTTTTTTTAAGATTTTATTTATTTATTTGACCAAGAGAGACACAGCAAGAGAGGGAACACAAGCAGGGGGAGTGGGAGAGGAAGAAGCAGGCTTCCCACTGAGCAGGGAGCCCGATACAGGGCTCAATCCCAGGACCCTAGGATCATGACCTGAGCCGAAGGCAGATGCCCAACGACTGAGCCACCCAGGTGCCCCTTGATTAAAATCTTTAAAATTAAAAATGTGTTGGGGCGGTGGCCATGCAGCCCTGTCCCCACCTCACCAGCCGCCCTGTTTCCAGGTACCTAGAGTGTTCTGGTGCAGAGGTTTAAAGACCCTTGGGGGTCACCTGTCCCCCTCCATTGGGGCGGTTGGGCCCATGGGGAGTCCGGAGTCTCCCGCAGGTCTGACCCTGCCACTGTCCTCTCCTACGGTAGGAGGGCCATCCAAAGCCTGGCCCTGCACACGTGTCCTTGGGGGAGATGGAAAACCCTGGGCTCTTGTGCAGCATCTGAACTCACCCCTGGGGGCATTGCTGGAATGCTCTGCCTAAAAAAAAAGGAAAGAAAAAAATTTTAATCTGTCATTATTTACCATACTGTGGCGTATCTCTGCCTAGCATTATGAATAGAGCCTCCTTGTCATTGCTTGAAAATAGCACATTCTGTAGCACAGAGTTCTTAGGGTAAGTAGCTGTGGTTCCCAGAATTACTCTGTCCCTTTGCCCATTAGTCATGCTTTCCTTCTGCAGTATCCTGTCTTAATTCTGCAAATACAGACAGAGCACCTTTTCAATACAGGATCCCAAACTTAGCAGTTACCCAAAGCAAGAATCATGAAGAAAATTCATGACAGTTACTAGTCTCTTCTGCTGGACAAGACACGATTCTGCTGCAGTTTGTCATCTCTTTGCAAAGCAGGTGGGAGGTTAAGCCCCTCCTTAATGTTTCTAGGAGACCTGGATTCCACATTTAGCTCAGTCTGGGAAATTTTCATGATTTTTGTTTTGTTTTGTTTTTTTGGTGAGAAATGTCTCATAAATTTGGAATATCTAAAAGGTGATTATTCTTTACTGTCAAAGCTTTCTATATGTCAAATGGAACATAAAGTTGTATACTAAATATTTTCTGCCACCTTTGGTTCTAAAAGATCTGTATGTCTGAAATTTGATTTATAATGAACAAAAACCAAACATAAGCAGTCATAAGAAGTCAACCTATTGGGGCGCCTGCGTGGCTCAGTCTGTTAAGTGTCTACCTTCGGCTCAAGTCATAATCCTGGTCCTGGGATCAAGCCCCATGTCGGGCTCTCTGCTCAGCGGGGAGCCTGCTTCTTCCTCTCCCACTCCCCCTGCTTGTGTTCCCTCTCTTGCTGTGTCTTGGTCTCTGCTGCTCCCCCATGCTTGTGTACTTGCTCATTCTCTCTCTCTCTGTCAAATAACTAAATAAAAGTCTTTAAAAAATGTAAAAAAAAAAGAAAGAAATCAACCTGTTAGCTCACCAGAGAGTGGCTTTGGTGATCTAGTCTGCATTTGAAGGCAAGCACTCTTGAATCTGAACTATTATTTATGGGAGCATTTTCTTTCGTGCTTTCAAAGTTGAGCTAGCAATTAGACCTTTTTATTTATTTTTTTTAAGATTTTATTTATTTATTTGACAGTGAGAGAGGGAACATAAACGGGGAGTGGGAGAGGGAGAAGCAGGCTTCCCGCGGAGCACGGAGCCCGATGCAGGGCTCGATCCCAGGACCCTGGGACCATGAGCTGAGCCGAAGGCAGACGCTCAACTGACTGAGCCACCCAGGCGCCCACAATTAGACCTTTTTAATTTTTTTTATAAGTCAGTGTGCTCTGTCTCAAACAAATGTGACACTGAAGTGTGTGTTCGTAGTCACTCAGATTTAGTTTGTACTGTTGCTGTGGTACTGATGAGTTTTCTTTTGTCCTCTCCCTGCAGGCTTCTAGTCAGTGCCTCACAGGATGGCAAACTGATCATCTGGGATAGCTACACAACAAACAAGGTAAGGACTGCAGAGTCCCCTCCCTGAGAAACCAACCCAGGAGGAGGCGGGCTTCTCACCTCCAGTCCACTTGTGTACAAACATACCACACGGATAGGGAGGGGAATCACGGTGAGTTTTCAGTGTGAAGCCGAACCACATGGCTAGCACGTGCTGCTGGTGTCTTCTGCTGTGGGCCATGGTCTCATTGCAGGGCAGGTGGGAGCTAAGTCCCTCCTTGATGGTTCTGAAAGACCTGCATTCCAGAGTTCGTTCAGTCTGAGAAAGTTCGTGATTCATTTAAAAATGTAGAAATCCAGCTTTTCATTTAGTTATTCGTTTTTACAAGAGATAATCTGAAAGGCAGTGTACTTTGAAGTATAAATTAAATTCTTTTAAATACTTAATCTAAGGTTGTACTGAATGAGGAAGTACTTGCTATCACTTGGTCCATACGTAGGAAAAGATCAGACTCAGTCATTTTTACTGGAGAGTACTAAGATTGCAGTATTTATAACAAATCTATCCCAAACATGGGGAGGTCTGTGGCAGGATTAATTACAATGTCTAGATTTGTTACTTCACTAAAAACATTTTGTTTTATAAATCAATTTATAGCCATTGTGACAGGTTTGTGAACTGTTTTCTTTTTAATGTATAGTCTGGATTAGGAGGCTCTAAAACTATTACTTAGGTGCATACCTAACCATAAATTGTGACCTTAACAAGACTGCAGATTAAATTGGTGTGCAGCACTGGGTTTTGTTTTTTTTTAAGCTGAGATCAGGAGTCAGACCACTAATCGGCTGAGCCATGCAGGTACCCGATGGATTTCTTATTAAATTAGTACTTTATCTGACTGGCCACATGTATAAGTTATTTTCAAAATAATTCTGGCCATTGTTTTGTTGTGTCACCTTCTCTGCAATGAAAGTTGAAGACTGGAAATAGAATCATAGTGTCCATAATTAATGTTTTTGAACTTGAGTGTGTCTGCATCATCTGTGTTCTGTCATTTAGGTCCATGCCATCCCTCTGCGTTCCTCATGGGTCATGACCTGTGCATATGCCCCTTCTGGGAACTATGTGGCCTGCGGTGGCCTGGATAACATTTGCTCCATTTACAATCTGAAAACTCGTGAAGGGAATGTGCGTGTGAGCCGCGAACTGGCCGGACATACAGGTACATGTTCTCACCAGTAACTTTAGAGCTGGGATAATTGTCTGCCGTGCATTATATGCTTTGGACACGCACCTCTTCTCAATAATTATTTAATAAGTTGGTTGTAATAATGGCCAGAAACATTCTGAAAATGAAATCAAAGACAGGCTTTGATATGCCTTCACTGGTAAGAAACCTTTGGATTGACGTCACCATAGCATCCTGTTTTCAAGGATCTCAGGGACTTAGGTCACTGCCTTCATAGCTGGCAGCCACCCTTTTTTATTTTATAGTAACATAGTTCAGTCTCAACCTTTGTTTAAGCCATCTTGTATCTTGAGTGCCTTTCCACGAGGGTTTCCTAATCTACACGTGCATGTATACATATGCATACACACATATGTACGTGTACAGATCCAACCTGGCCCCCTTAATACACTTCATACCCACTAGCACTCCTGTTGAAAAGGAAACAGAATAGAGTCCTCTAGGTTGTTCTTTTGAACACAGCCAGTTTTAAGGGTTAGGTGGTATATTAATTTGCCAAGTTTAGTTTACCTGTGACACTTGTTATTCATAACAAAAAGCATAGTGTTTCTTTTTTTAAGATTTTATTTATTTATTTGACAGAGGGATACAGCGAGAACAGGAACACAAGCAGGGGGAGTGGGAGAGGGAGAAGCAGGCTTCCTGTGGAGCAGGGAGCCCGACGTGCGGCTCGATCCCAGGACCCTGGGATCATGACGTGAGCCGAAGGCAGATGCTTAACAACTGAGCCACCCAGGCACCCCAACCATAGTGTTTCTGAAAAAGGAAGTCTTGTCCTAATATTTTACTTATGTGGCTGTCTGCTCAGTTCTCACAGTTAGACCCCACGAGGCTCACCTACAGCACATGCAACCAAAGAAATGATCATAAGTGAAGGAGTAAATAATACTGCTTTTGACTCTAGTTAAGCCTTTTGTTATTTATTTATTTAAAGATTTCATTTATTTATTTGACAGAGAGAGACACAGTGAGACAGAGAGCACAAGCAGGGGGAGTGGGAGAGGGAGAAGCAGGCTTCCCTCAGAGCAGGGAGCCAGATACGGGGGCTCGATCCCAGGACTGTGGGATCATGACCTGAGCCGAAAGCAGACGCCTAACGACTGAGCCACCCAGGTGCCCCAGGCCTTCTGTTAAATTAACTGTAGCAAGATAAGAGTACGTCCGTGGTCCTTTTTTTTTTTAATTTGTGTGACTTTTTGTTTGTTTTTGTTAAAGTATAATTAGCATACAGTATTCCATTAGTTTCAGGTGTACAGTATAATTATTTAACGCTTGTATACATTGTTCAGTGCTCATCACAGTAAGTGTACTTAATCCCCTTTATCTGTTTCCCCCATTCCCCTCCAACCTCCCCTCTGGCAACCACCAGAGTTAGATCGGATTGGTTGTCCTTTACAGATGTGCTCCCTGCATTTCGTTCATTTCTGTCCTACGTTATCTCCTGCTCTCTGCTTGCTCTGGGGTTGCTTCCTTCGTAATTTTCTAGCTTCTTAAGGTGGAAACGAGACCTTTCTTTTTTCTTTTAGACCTTTCTTTTTCAAATAGAAGCACTTAAAGCTATAAATTTCCCTTTAAACAGGGCTTTAACTGTATTATCATTCAGCTTGAAGTATTTTTAATACCCTTTTGATTACTTCTTTGATTCATATGTTGCTTAGATGTATGATGTTTAGTTTTCAAGTACCTGAAGTTTCCTTACACAACTTATTACTGATTCATAATTAAATTCCATTATGTTCAGAGAACATATTCTGTGGCATTTCAGTTCTTTTCAGTTTATTGGGACTTGTTTTTAATGGAGCAGAGAGTGTCAGGATGAGCAGGCCACATACACTTGGAAACCAAGTCTGTTTTGCAGTTGCTGGGCAGTGTTGTCAGTGTGTTTGTTCCAGCCAGACTTTTGATCCTGTTCAAGTCTCTTATCTTTACCTCTGTGAACTGCTGGGGGTGGACGTTAAGGGCCCTGATGGTGGATTTATCACTTTCTCCCTTTAATTCTGGCAATTTTTGCTTCCTATGTTTTGAGCTCTCTTAGTAGAAGTATATAATCATGATGAAATGTCCCTTTTTCTCTCAGAATATTCTTTGTCCTAAGTCTGCTTTATCTGATGTTAGTGGAGTCACTCCCGATTTCTGTTGTTTCCGCACACTTTTCCCATCCATTTTCTTTCAACTTGACTGCGTATTTACAAGGAGGGTCCCTTATAGACAGCATGTAGTTGGGCTGTGCCTTTCATCCGTTCTAAGGGCTCTGCCTTCCTAGTGGTGTGGGCCCACTGCCGTTGGGTACAGGGCGCCCACAGTCGGCTTTGGCTCTGTCGTGCCGGGACTGCTCTGCTTTCCTGCCCTCTGGGTGCGATACTAACTAGCTGAGTTTATCTGTTGGCCCGTTTGGTTTCCTCTGTGCATTAATTTTTAGTGGCTTATCTAGGGATTACAGTGTACATTCATAACTTTTCATGATCCACTCAGAGTTAATATTGTGTCAATTCATATAAAATACAAGAGCCTTGGAGCCGGAAAGGCCCATTTTTCTGCCCTTTATCGTTCTTTTTTTTTTTTTTTTTTTTAGAGAGAGAGAGAGAGCACAAACAGGGAGGGGCAGAGGGAAAGCGAGAATCTTAAGCAGACTCCACACCCAGCTTGGAGCCTGGTGGGGGCGGGGACTCAGTCTCATGACCCTGAAGTCATGACCTGGGCCTATATCAAGAGTCAGACCTCAACTGACTCAGCCGCCCAGGTACCCTCTGCCCTTCCTCCTTCTTTATCATGTTTTCATAACTATTGATCTATATGCCCCCATCATACATTGTTTGGCTTCTCCCTTCTTGGCCTTTGAAGAAACTTGAATTGTCTTTTGCTTTTACTCCAATATTTACCATCTCTAGTGCTCCTCCTTCCTTTCTGAGGATGAGAGTTTTCTTCTGCAGTCTCTTCAGCTTGATGAGTTCACATTAGTTTCTTACAGTTAGTGGAGGTCTGCTAGAGTGACTACTCCATTTTCATTTTTCTGAAAATGCCACTTTTCCTTCATTCTTTTTGGGGCGGGGAGGAGGGGAGAGAGTAGGTGGAGGGGGAGGGGGAGGGGCAGAGGAAGGAGAAGAGAGAGAGCCTTAAGCCAACTCCACATGCAGCACAGAGCCTGAGCTGAAACCAAGGGTCT